CCTCGATTTGTATATAGTTTCTGTTTTTGGAGTAGCCCACTCAATTCCCTCACCTCTATCCAAGTTCCCCAAAAATAAAAAATAAAAACACCCCTAGACTGGTTATTGGAGGAAACAAGTGACTGTGTTCACGTGCCTGGCTGGGGGGTAATCCTTTTGGGAAGAACCTGGGAAAATTGCCAGCAGCTCCTACAGTACTAGTGCTACACAAATATGGCACCTCCAAAATACACTTTACAGAGGTAAAAAAGACACCCACATATTTAAAAATGTAAATAATGTTCAAAACTGATTTTCTTGAATAAGTTCATAATGTAAGATACATTAAACGTTAAAATTAGTTTGGGGCAAATTCTAGCAGACAGAACTACCCATTGGTCTTTGCCATCTTTCTGAACTCCAGTGGAAATATCTCAACACACAAGTTCCATCAGCCTAATGTGACCATTATGAATGGTATTTCCCATTCAAAATATATTATTTCCTATTACGGAAAATTTAAAAAGGGACAAGGAGACTCATGGGTGAGAGAACATTGAAGCATTCCATGGAGGTACAAGAAGGCGATTCATCTCACTGGCACATGATTGACTCCTAAACCTTCTCAGGACCTTTTCTAAATAAAAAAAAAAGACCTATACCAATCCCACCTCAAGCCAATACATGGGCTGGGGTCTGCTGTTACAAAGTTTACTTGGTTGCATATGTGTTTTAAATTACTTTCAAACAGGAAAACATGTTGCAAGCTAGTATTTCACTATGCAAGGCCTCTACAGACAGAGATGAAATGATGTATGACATTTAATTCATGTTAGTGATCTCCAACCTGTTAGACCGTGTTCCATGATATGATGTGGCAAAGTGCAGGAAGTGCTCTTGTCATAACATATTGGGCACATTTAGAAGGAACACCAGTTCATTGCACAACTGCTCTACCATGTTTCTTTAAGGATTTAGACACATAAAATAAAAGGTCACATGCAGAATACATGTGTTAATTCACAAGAGATTTTTTAGATGGTCAAGTATTTTTAATACATTCCTTGCATACAGCTCAAGTTGACAATTTTCATTGTTGGATAAAAAAAGATATTTATCAACTCTGTGCTGACAGACAATTTATGAGACTCGCTGCAGTTTACCAGTGCATGTAATCGAGAACAACTCTGCATTTACAGAATATCAACGATGAGAAGGTTCTGCTTTCCAGGGGAATTGAGGTAAAGAAAGTCACACACAAAGTCTATTCTGGGTGATAACCAAAAGAATATATTGCCTAGGTGATGTTACAGGTGATGCTTCAAAGTGGTTCACCAATATTTTAATAGTTAAAGTAAATGTAAAGTAAAGTAAAAGTCTGATCACTTCTCAGCCAATCTCATATAAGCTTTAACATTTTAATCTCCTGAGCCCGATCTTGATCTAGCAATACACTGGGAAGCAGCGGCTCTCTCTCTCCTCAAAGTGCAGATTTATAGCAGTGGGAGCAATTGGCTCCGGCTGCTGTCAATCAAATCATAAGACGAGGCAGAGGGACAAAGCCCTCCGGTCTGTGTCAATGGTTACAGGAAGCGGGGATCAGGAGTGAGCCTGCACGAGTACATCCCTTAACAAGTGGCTTGCTGGGGAGGGGGGTATTTGGAAGAGGGGAGGAGTCAGAGTGCCAGCAGGGGCCTCCAGAGGATGAAGATTAGGGCTGTTTTGTGTAAAACCATTGCACGGGGCAGGTAAGTATGACATGTTTGTTAATTTAAAAAAAAAAAATGTAATATCATGTTACTATGCAATATTCAGTGCAATGAAATCAAGACCTAGTGACAGAAATGAAAGCAGATAGTCATATAAGTACTAAAAGTTATATTAAAGTTGCGACCGCAGATAGCCGAATGACGGCTGCACTGCGGCCGGCCAGAGTGGACGTCATAAATGTGCCCCCAAACGCGCTGCCTGCGCGCCCCAGGGGGCGCGCATATTGATGTCCCCCAGAACGCGCTCTCCTGCGCGCCCCAGGGGGCGCGCACACCAGCGATCCCATCGCTGTGTCCTACGGACATTTGATACCTGATGTGGTAAAAGGCCAATCACAGCGGCCTTTTACCACCTGATCAGCGGTGTCCAATGACACGCTGATCAGAGGGAAATGCAAGTGCCGGTTCTCGGCTGCACTTTCCTCACGCTGTCAGATCGTGAGGAAAGTACTGCCGAGAACCGGCAGTTGTCAGAGCGGGGATCGGCACCACTATACATTTTGCCTGCTCATTGGACAGTTAAAGCGCATTTTCCAGCTCTCGTAGGAGAGTGCCTAAAAACATGGCAGCGCTGTACAGTTTAGCAGGGCCTTTAGAATCACTTCTTACTCCCTATCTGCTGTGCAGGGGATTGTGAACAGACAAATTTCAGGCAGTAGACTAAAAAAACATACTGCAAATATGAAACAAACAAAAGTGAGGATTGGTATAGAACAGCTTTTTTTAACCAGGGTGCCTTCAAGATTGTTCAGGGGTGCCCTGGCAAAATTACTAAAAACTGTCCAATAATGGTATACAAGCCAGCAAGTGGATGAAGCCTGCCTTTAAATTACACAAAGCCACAGGTTTTCATTCTGCACTGTTACAAGCTTCCAGGCGCCAGTGTCCTAACAACCAATGAAGAACCTGAAGGAGAAGAGAAACATTGGAATACTAGTCAGTAATAATGTGCAAAGGTATTTGCTATGGAAGAATAAATTACCTCTAATGTCAGGTGTCCTACATTTGTGGATGTTGCTGTGTAAATAAAACTATTAGCTTAGTTTTCCGCATTTTAGAGTGGGGTGCCTCAAAAGGAGGGCATACTTTTAAAGTGCCTTGACTGAAAAAAATGTTGAGAAATACTGGTCTAGAAAGACCTCCTGTCATCTTGTCTTGAAACAAAGTTTGGTAAAGGCTTCTTTGCTCCACATGGGAAGCACTAAAAAGCATTATTGGCAGGCACCTGGAGCCAGAGAGGCAGGCGGGTTGAAGGTTGATGAGAGGTGACCTACTTTGGTATTGAGACTAAAAAAACATAACTGGACTAAAAGGGTGTTTTACTACTTTCCAGCCCTTGAAATGTAGTTTGTTAATGCACTGTGTTTTTAAAACTTTGACTTTTTATATTCTAAAGTAATCTTTTTATTTTTTTTGTATTCTTTTATTGACGATTTCCTGCAGCTTCTTTCATACAATTCTGCAGGTTTTGTGCTGGGTTGGCTTGCTGATGGTGAAAATGGAAGTACATACCCGCCCAAAAAGTGTTGGCAGGACCACCAAGGACTCATTCATGGAGCTGTCTAAAAAGTGGGGACAAAGACATCATTCACACGGGTCTGTGGCCTGTACAACTTTTATTTATTTCAGGTACTTATATTGTGCTGTCAATTTACGCAGCGTTTTGCATATATATTATACATTCACATCAGTCCCTAACCCTCAAGGGGCGTACAATCTAAGGTCCCTAACTCACATTCATACATACACATAGTAGGGTCAATTTAGACAGGATCCAATTCACCTACCAGCATGTCTTTGGAGTGTGGGAGGAAACTGGAGTACCTGGAGGAAACTCACGCAGGCACAGGGAGAACATGCAAACTCCAGGTAGGTGGTGCCGTGGTTGGGATTTGAACCAACGACCCTAGTACTGCCAGGTGGAAGTGCTAACCATTTAGCCACTGTGCTGCCCAACTTGAATAATTATGCATGGAACTGTGTGCAGGCAGTCCATGTTTCTCTTTGGGTACACAGGCAACCATCCTAGTGTGGCAGGAGGAGGGCAGAGGCAGGTAAGCAAACCTTAACACAGACAGCTTGTGTTCAGACTCAATCCCCACATGCCTGTTATATTAGAATGAGCAGCTGTGTCCATATAGCCACTTCATCCTCAATGTGCAACACAGGCTACCTGCACGCAGCTCCAGCTCTATAAACAAGGCCTACTGAAATCACTTGGGGCAAGGTGACAATGCAGAAGAGCATTTAGGACACAGGAACATAAAGCTCTCTCTCAATAAAAGGGAACCACCAGAACAAGAACTTCTTCTTGGGGCTACCAATTATTTCAATAAAAGCTGCAGATATTGATAATCTTTAACACTTAAGGTTTAGAAGAGATTTTAGTGACTGGGTTAAACTTTGCTCTATGCATTAACAGATAAAGCTGGCCACACACTATTTGAAATTCAGCTGGTTCCTGATTAACTGCCAAAAATTTGCTCCATAGGTGGTCATGACCCCCCCCCCCCCCCCATCCTTGTTGTGGAAAATCAATGGAGTCAGAATGAAAATATTCAGCTGAACAGTGGCTGCATCCAATCAGATGCAGACACTGTTCAGGTATTCTAACAGTTGTTGGATGACAGGCTACAATAGATTCAGTGAGAGATTTGTCTGTCCACACCATATAGTATGGATGGAGGATTCTGTTAAAGAAAAGAGTGTATAAAAATCCTAACACAGGACCGACAGAAGAAAAATGTACTGGTGTGAATGGGACCCAAATAGTTTGAATTCTCAAAGGAAAAAAAAATGCACAAAAGGAACGACTTTGTCCAGAGACCATTACATCTGAATGGAAGAATAGATATAAACAGTTATAACCACCAAATGTTCACCACTGACGCAATGGAAGGACTAGGCTCCTAACAATTGCAGCTCTACAGTGCTGACCGTGCCTAACACACATCCTTTAATCTAATAGAGCCATTATTCCAGGAAGACAAAACGCAGAGGTACTCTTACGGAAGACAAGGCCCGTTCTAGGCAGAGCACCCACTTCACCTGTTTTACTGGGAAAACACACTATGCCAATCACATTAGAAATCTTTTATCCTGCACAATCTCTGCTGCTCTTTGTTCCTCTGAATTGGATTTGAGATGTTGTATGCTAGCCCATTGCCATTGTAAATAGAACATTAATCACTCTTCAATGAACAGCGAAAAGGACAAAAACATGACATGATTAGTAGAGGCTACTTGACTCACCCATTATTCTACTTAATGCAGCATTCCTTGTGGGCGATTCGTCAAAGCTGTACAGAGAGTGGGAAATTCTTCGCTCCCTGTCGTCCAGCATTGTCTCGATGGGCAATTCGGGCCCCGAGGGGCTTCCAGGTGACTCCAACTGTAGAATCAGGAGAGAAGGGATATCAGTGCTGACGGTCTATTTAACAGCATGGGGGAACAATAACAACATGCCTAAGGCCTGCACCCGGCTGGGTACCAAATGAGCTAGAACTTTTCACCCTCTACCAAAATAATTTGCATTGACAGCTCTGCTTAATGGGCAACTTTCGATGCCACTTTGTAGTATACCTCCTGTGGAGCGCCTGTCATATTTCAACACCCTTAAGCAAAAAATAACTAGTACAAAGGCAATGTCTCTGATCATATTAGAACAAATTTGCTTACAAATTTGTTCTTTTAACTCTTCTCTGTACCTAGGCCTTCTACAGCAATAGAGACAAGATACAAAAATAATTTTACTGCCAAAATGTGTCTTTAATCTTATGATACAGAGGACAGCTGTTAGGTTAGTACTTTTTAGGAAAATAAGGCTTGAACTAATAAAAGATTTAACTGCAAAAAAATATTAAAAAATCAGAGTACAATCCAGTTCTATATTTACTGTTTATTTCTCCAAAATTACTTATTAACGTTATGTGCTAAAGAGTTTTTTATCCGCCTCCTGCCCACCATATAGTAATATGACGGACGCAAGGTGGTTCTCTCGTTCTGGAAGGACGTCATATGACGTCCTTACATTCTAACCGCGCATGTGCGGCTCCCGGAGCGCACAGCGCAGTGATTGGTGGTGCGCTGTGTCCCTAGGACACAGCGCATCGACGATCCACGGAAAGAGCCGAAGATGTCGGCTCTGTCATGTGATCAGCTGTGTCCAATTACAGCTGATCACATGTAAACAGGGAAATACCGGTTATCGGCATTTCTCTCCCCACGAGCTGTCACGCTGACAACTCCTGAGGAGAGGAGAGCCAGTAATCGACATTCCTCGGAGGGGACATATACACAGATCATCAGAGCACTGATGATCAATATGCCCTGATGATTTGTGTAGCCCCAGCAGCGCCACCTGTCAGTGTCCATCAGTGCCAGCTCTCAGTGCTCATCCATGCCACCTGCCAGTGCCCATCAGTGCCACAACAGTGCAACATTTCAGTGCCCATCAATGCCACATATCAGTGCCCATCTGAGCTGCCTTTCAGTGTCACCCATCAGTGCCAGTCAGTGCCACCTAGCAATGCTAGTCAGTGCCACCATACAGTCAGTGTATCAGTGCATCAGTGCCGCCTATCAGTGTGCATCAGTGCCGCCTATCAGTGTGCATCAGTGCCGCCTATCAGTGTGCCATCAGTGCTGCCTATCAGTGCCCATCAGTGCTGCCTATCAGTGCCGCCTAACAGTGCCAGTCAGTGCCACCTACCAGTGCCAGTCAGTGCCGCCTATCAGTGCCATATATGAGTGCTGCTTTTCTGTGCCCATCAGTGATGCCTGTCAATGCCCATCAGTGCCACCTATCAGTGTCCATCACTGCAGCCTCATTAGCGCACATCAGTGAAGGAGAAAAATCACTTATTTACAAAATTTTATAACAAAAACTAAGAAAAAAACTTTTGTTTTCAAAATTTTCAGTGGTTTTTGGTTTAAGAAAAAATAAAAAACCCAGAAGTGATTAAATACCACAAAATAAAGCTCTATCTGTCACAAAAAAATTATAAAAATTTCATATGGGTACAGTGTTGCATGACTGCGCAATTGTCATTCAAAGTGTGAGAGCGCTGAAAGCTGGAAATGGGCCTGGGCAGGAAGGGGGTATAAGTGCCCTGTAGGCTAGTGGTTAAACATATACACCCCCCCCCCAACCTAGATATTGTATGTCTTGGTGTTCTCCCCCAGTAAAAGACACTACCACTTTTATTGACAATCAAGTATTAACCCTCATTTACACCAATGCAACTTGAAACTGTCAAATAGCATGACAAGTTGCACCCTATTTGTGCCCACGGAACCGCTCAAATCAGTGCAACCCAGATTTTGTGGTGCGGCACCGATTTTGAAAAAAGGTTCCATCTGTGCATGAAGTCGCACAGATGTCAGGCAAGCCGCACATGAAATCGCGCTAACCAGCGGCTTTGAAATAGCGCTACTTCTGGTAAAGCAGCACAATTCCAAACTCGCATTCAGTGTGAACCAGAGATAAATCTCCTACTTGTCCAGTCCATTAAAAAGAAGAGTAAAAGTTTTATATCCCACTTTTAATGATAATCAGCCATATTCTACTGGATTTGCTCTGCAATGTTTCAGTTTGTTTACTTATTATTTATTTCAGGTTTTATATAGTGGTAACAATTTACCCAGTGCTTTACATATTTATTGTTCTTTCACATCAGTCCTGCCCCCAAGGAGCTTGCAATCTAAAGTCACTACCTCACATACACACACTTTGCTTTCTGAGTCTGTAGTGCAGTGACAAAAACAAAACACCAAAGTATACCAAAAAAGTGCATGTGAGCACACAAAAAAGTGCACTAGGCTGTGTCAAGCAAGCAGCTTGCTCTGGGGGCACTTGGGGGTTTGGACCACAAGAGTGCAGGTGGGGGCCCAGAGAAGAGGCGGATCGGAGAAGGTGATATATATATATATATATATATGTATTTTTGTATTCAGCTCTGCGTGAACACAGTATTTACTGAATATGCAAACCACAGTCTGCAGAAAAAAAGCAGCTAAACATAAAACTGAAGGGCAAAAAAATGTCAATGAGCAGAGACTTAGTCACACTAATCATAAGAAACTCAAGAGAGAAGAAAGCGCAAGCATCTTTTCTGACACTGAGGCTTGTCTCCTGCCTTCAGCTGTACATAATAAAATCTGCATCAGGATTGCTTAAACTAAACTGTCACCCACAAAAGTGAAACCATAATTCACAGCTGCCGGTAAAAGTGTCTTTTGTGCTTGTAAGACTGCAGCTGTCACAGCCTATCAAACATTTCGACTGGAAATGGCTCCACTAAACTCCTACTTCAGCGCAAACGCTTCTGTCAGAAAATGATCAGCAACACCCACAAGGCAATCTCTGTCTTTTCCACATGGAGATTATTTTTAGATGGAGAAGAGTTTGATGAACTCCTACATGGATGGAACCTTTATGCAAAACTAATGTCAAGGAAAATGTTTCCGTTTACCTGTGTTACTTATCAGAGGGATGCTGTTCGCTGTAATGCATGTTTTCCTTTTCTATCTAAATATATTTCTCCCAGTGCGTATTTAAACACAGCCCGTGCCATCATTCTTTCACTCCCCCTGTGCTTGATGACATGCTGGCTTTCACTGAGACATTCTCAGCATGCAATCCCTTGATACAATACTGTCAACACTTGGACTGCAGTAGATTTCACTAAAGGACAAGTGGAAATAAAACATTTCCCTACTTTTACACAACCATGGTTTGACTGTCTGCTTAATCCTTCGTGAGTATTAGATGATGGCGAGATATACATTACTTCAACAGGTTTCTGATTGCCAAATACCGTTTCTACTTACAATGAAACCACAATGCATCTAAGCAACACAAAGCAATAATGCTACATAATTAATTTTTAATATTCAAAGCAAATGTCTTCATGCTTTTTTCTTGCTGAAAAATCACTTTGAAAAACACCCCCTAGCATTTCTTGCCATCGCCATCTTGGGCAGATGATTCATTTAGCATTGACTTCCTGGAATCCATCTGCCCTTAATTCAAGCATACAAGCAGGAGGACATGCTCATCTGAGAAAACCCCTCCTCCTCTCCAGAAGACTCCTAGAGTTTATGTCATCATTTGCCAAGGTAAGAAACTAGGAAGTAACTGAAGAAACGTAAAATAAAAATAGTTTAAACCACGTAATTATATATATTTTCCTATCTATTTACAAATACTAGCAGCCTAAGTATTAAAAATAGTCCATGTTGATTAAGAGAGCCAAGCTCCACTTTATCTGTGAAGTAACCATGTGTTGATAGTAGATGTCTTGACTTACCATTCATTTCTACATTAAAAAGCTGGTTTAAAAAACTGCCAAGTCTAATATTACAGCTCTCCTGTCAATGTATACCATGTGGGTATACTGAACACAGCAGAGTAACTGCAATAAGCAAGTGAGTACCCGCACTGATGCCCAACACGTTAATGGTAGTACGAGACACTAGGCAGTGCTTATCATTTCTGTGCAAAGTTAAAAAAAAAAGAACTAAAAAACCCTAAAAAAAAAAAAAAAAAAAATGTCCAGTGAAAGTAACAGTGGCAGAAGCAAATTATAACAGATATTTTTCTGCAACTGCCCAACCACCTTCTGGCAATGTTAGAGTACAATTCAACAGGGCAGTGCTGTGTGTCAATGGACACAGAGCTGGCTCGGGAGTGAGCATGCACGACTTTCCCCAAAGCAAGCGGCTTGCTATGGGGGCACTCGGCAGGGGGAGGAGTTGGCAGTGTAGACAGGGAACCCAGGAAAAGCAGGACTGAGGCTGCTTTGTGCAAAACCAGTACACAGCAAGTGCTTAAAAAAAAGAAAAAAAGTGAAGTAATTACTTTAACCACTTGGCAACCGCGATACAGCCAAGTGATGGCTACAGCGTGGTTGTCCAGTCCTGGGAAGGCGTCATATGATGTCCTCCCAGAACGCGCCCTCCATTGTGCCCCCAGCGGCACGCACCAGGTGATCTCCGTGATCGCTGTGTCCTACGGACACAGCTGATCACGTGATGTGGTAAAAGGCCAATCACAGCGGCCTTTTAGCACATGATCAGCTGTGTCCAATGACACAGCAGATTACCGGGTAAATACAGTTGCCGGTTAAAGGCTGCACTTTCCTCACAGTGTCACAGTGTGAGGAAACTACTGCCGATAACAAGCAATTGCCAGAGACCAGCACAGATCATCAGGGCACTGATGATCAGTGCCCAGCAGTGCCACCCACCTGTGCCCATCAGTGTCCTGCAGTGCCGCCCAACAGTGCCATCAGTTAGTGCTACCCATCAGTGCCCATCACTGCAGCCTGTGACGATCACGGCATCAGACCCCAGCCCTTCTCACCAAACTCGTGACCGAAGGACTGGCCGATCCGAACCGCGATGTGACGTGCGTAACAATGCCACACCCAGCTGCACCCTGCACAATGATTTTCCAGCTAATGGGTACTGATCGAATGTGCCAGTAGCCTGAATCGATTGTTACTGGGTCAGGTTAATTACGCAATTAACCCCTTCATACTGCCACCACCTCCTTTTGGTTCAGAAAAAGAGGAAACTCGCAATATCGCTATAACACTATAATAATTGAAATAACCATCTGCATAACCCAGTCATTGACACAGGCCGGTTATACAGAGAGTTAAACCAACAGTAGCGTCTCTTTAAAAGCAGGGATTCGTAAATTGCAATTAAGAATTATAGAAACAGTTCAACACTTCCAGAACAAAGATTTATTACTAAACGGGTCAAACAGGTGCAGTAAAATATTTACAGAGAAGATGTAACTAAGATATATATAGAAATATATATACAGAGAAATACAGCACAGCAAACAGATAACAGAAAGAAGTTTAGGTAAGTAAGTACTTGCCAAATAAATGCCTGCGGTTAAGCAGCTTCAAGTTTCAAGAGCCTCAGGTAGATTTGCTTCTTGTCTCTACTGCCAATTCCGTTGACTCATCGCAGGAGACTTTGCTTTCTGTCTGCAGATCTGGCATCACAGACCGTTATATCTCTCTAACTAACTTCAAGCAGGGAGAAAGCTCTCCTTACCTAAGACAATCGCACTGGAATTTTCCTGTCACAGCCAAACCAATACCTTATTTGGCAAAAGGGATTATTAGGCAGACTCAGCGTCATATGCTGCTTGCATTCCTGAGGGAGAGGAATGAGGAGATACATGAAACCTCCAGGTGCTTGCATAGGAGTTTAAGAGAAATACCAAATGCAGAGGTTTAGGAGCAAAATGAAGGACCGCGCCCATCTCTGTGTGCATGATTGTGACACCGCCTATCAGTGCCACCTCATCCATGCCCATCAGTGCTGCCTGTCAGTGCAGCCTATCGGTGCAGCCTATCAGTGCACATCAGTGAAGGGGAAAAATTACCTGTTTGCAAAATTTTATAATAGGAAAACGTTTTTTTTTTTCACATTTTTTTGCTATTTTTTTGTTTATAGCACAAAAAAATAAAACACCCAGTGGCGATTAAATACCACCAAAAGAAAGCTCTATTTGTGTGAAAAAAATTATCAAAATTTCATATGGGTACAATGTTACATGATCGCGCAATTGTCATTCAAAGTGTGATAGCGCTGAAAGCTGAAAAATGGCCTGGGCACAAAGGGGGTACAAGTGCCCGGTAGGCAAGTGGTTAAGCAGGGTATACACAC